ACTCAAAATGAGGTGCAAAACTCACGAAAGGATAGGCTTCTCGATCAAATGGGATTGTCTCTCGCAATGATATTCCGAAGGACCATTATATTGGTTGAAAACTGAAATTCCAACAAATAGAAATAATGATAGCTGTCGTGCACAAGCTAACATAGAACAAAGAGCCACAAACCACATTAGCATTTACACTATGTTGTAAGCTTCGGGCGCTATCCATATGCTAGGGAATTCAGATGCGTGTCGTAAGCCGGAATTCGCTTCTTTGGCCGGATCAAAATTTGGTTTTGTTCCTGAATATGTGATGGCCTCCAGATAAAAATTGCCAAAACATAACCTTAGCGACATATGCACGGTGACGACGTAGATAAAATACAACAGAGCACAGCAAAATTGCATCAAAGGTAATTCAAAGTATCGAAATCCACTGCATATTACGAAATCCCGGCATCGCAATACGTCATGAGACCTTCTCATGAAGCGCCAATGCGCGCCGACTGGCACCGAAGTATTTCGTTACCCTACGGGGTAAAACATTGATAAATACGATATTCACCTTGGGGTTCAAAATACCTCGGGTATGTTTATCGCAAGGGCAGACTAACTCAATTTCAATGATGAATCCGGCCCATGGAGGTATAAAGCGAATGTAAGCTGAAATTTTGAGCACTTCTTGCAATTCAAAAAGGTGCAATTACACTGGGTAAAATCAGGTGGAGAGAGAAGCCTTATTGACTTGCTAGATGACGTTTTCCAAAAATTGCCCAAGACTGGAAAAAAACTGAATTTGGATAATGTGCGAAATAACTTTAGAGACCTTTATGCTAGATTTTTACAAAACTTGCGTTAAGATCTTTGCACTTCAAAATCCTTCCTTCACATGCATAAGCCTCAAAGTCCATATGCAAAAAAGCAACTCTCTTCCACGAGCTGTCACAAGAATCAGCGAAAGTTGAAGGTGTTGCATGAACAGCGCGCGATGCAACCTTTCACCCCTATGGTAAGAAATCGGTTGCACTTGAAAATTACCGCAATCAACTACAAACTTATGAAAATCTATGGTTTGCGACCAGTCCATTGTCTGCTCCGCATCTTGGGGTTGTTCAGAGCGGTGTGATGAAGGCTACGTTGCTGATAACAGCTAAAATGTCTTAGTTTCCAGCGTCGATAGCCGTGCAGTCTCGCGGCAGTCGTAACATGCAGCAAATGGCTCAAGATCAGCGTCATTTTACAGTCCCAGTTTACTGGAAAACGTCAATCAATATAAGCAGATCCAATAAATTCGCTTATCAGCAATGGGCATAAGGATTGCCGAAGGAAGTGATTAAAATTTTCTTTAAGGGTCTTACATCTGGGTTTTCTTTTTTTTTTACGTAAGACATCAGTGACTTTTCTGAACTGATTAGACCTCTTGAGCTTAGCGAGCGAAACAATCTCTTACCCTTACTGTATGTTGACACTGCTCTCTGTCATCACACCTAAATCAACAAATCATTCAGTGAACATCAGTACCAACATTGTTTCGTATTGCTTGTATAGGAGCACAGCACATTCTGCGCGTTTTTCAGCTAATCGCTTCGAGCATCTGCAAGGGAGCTACCTTTGATGAGCATAAATTTAGAAGAGTCTCGAACTTTTGAAATACATCATTTAGATTCTTCATCCTGAAGATTATCTAAATATTCTGCTATGCTAGGTGAACGGCTCATAATTAAAGTGACAAAAAATTAATCTGATTCGTTTTCTTTAAATTATAACGAAACGGTTATTGCTTATTAACTCTCCTTTGAGCCCTGTGTATTTTAAGAAGAGAGCACTTTCTAATTAGCAAATTTTTAAAGGAATAATTTCTTACAATCTGCGTGCCCCAATACCCTTCGTATCGTTACTCGGGGGCGGGTGTTCACGCTCAGTTTCTTCGTAATTGGAGCGGGTGTTAGTCATGCATCTTGCTGTGATTACGTTACTATTACTCCACACTAGTTACTTTCACTGGG